TAATGCAAATATGATAGTTAATGCATACAGCATTTTTAAGGGAAAAAATCAGAAATATTGAACTGATGTATTGTTGTACCATTTGCACTGTGAGCAAATGCTAATGCAGTAAATATATTGTGTTTGCTGACAATCAAAATCTGTAGTAAATATCTTTATTTGCTTAAATTGATCTATATTGGTTTGGAAAGTAAAAAAAAACCAAGGTTTTAATGTGTAAGGGGAGTGTAAAAATGGTTGAAATGTGCAGGGAAGTGGGTGCTGTGTCTCTTTACGGGCGACTTTGAAACCTGTCTGTACAGAGTTTTTTTTCCTAGTGCTGTATTTCCTTAAATATTATTTTTTATATGATTTTTTTAAAAAAAGTAACCCACTTTTTTTTCTCAGTCCCCCTCCCTCTGCTTCAGTTCTATCCACAGGACGGCACAGCAGGACCCCGCTGGGCAACCCCGAAGGCGACCGGCTCCGTCCTCGCGTCCCAGCTTCCCCGGGATGGGGGCACCCGACTGGGATGGGGGAGCCCCACCAGGATGGGGGGAACCCAACCAGGATGGGGGAAACCCAAACGGGATTTGGGAACCCGACCAGGATGGGGGAAACCCAAACGGGATTTGGGAACCCCACTAGGATGGGGGAAACCCAACCGGGTTGGGGGAACCTGACCAGGATGGGGGAACCCAACCGGGATGAGGGAACCCCACTGGGATGGGAGAACCCCACTGGGATGGGGGAGCCCAACCAGGATGGGGGAACCCGACCGGGATGGGGGAACCCCACTGGGATGGGGGAACCCAACCGGGATGGGGGAACCCCACTGGGATGGGGGAACCTGACCAGGATGGGGGAACCCAACCGGGATGAGGGAACCCCACTGGGATGGGAGAACCCCACTGGGATGGGGGAGCCCAACCAGGATGGGGGAACCCGACCGGGATGGGGGAACCCCACTGGGATGGGGGAACCCAACCGGGATGGGGGAACCCCACTGGGATGGGGGAACCTGACCAGGATGGGGGAACCCAACCGGGATGGGGGAACCCAACCAGGATGGGGGAGCCCGACCGGTATGGGGGAGCTCAACCAGGATGGGGGGAACCCAACCGGGATTGGGGAACCCCACTAGGATGGGGGCGCCTCACCGGGATGGGGGAACCCCACTGGAATGGGGGAACCTGATCGGCATGGGGGCACCCACCCTCTCCCCAAAAATCCGCCACGTCCTTGCTTTGCCCTTGACCTCCCATCCTGTTTTTCCCCGCTCGTGCCGTCGCCGCCTTGACCCCGTCACCATTTTGCCGGCGGCTTCCGCGGCTGCCGGGATAACTTTGGGCCACCAAAGAGGATCGCGCCGCTTCAGCCGGTAATGCTCCCGCGCCCTTCGCCAAATCGCCCCGGGGACAGCGCCTGCAGGGGATTTTTTTCCCAGCCTGGATCGCTCGGGATAAAAATAAATCGCTGGGTTTCAGCGCTGGCGCTCGCACGGGCACGAGGAACGAGTGGGAGAAGGAGTTTGGAGGCGCTCGCATGTTTGGAGTGGTGGCGTGTGGTGGTTGGATCCTTCCCCAGGGATGGGGATAGAGCCTGAATCCCAGAGCTGGGATTGTGCTGGAGGATCCCAGACCGGGCTCTGGGGGCCCCTTGGTGCGCGCGGGTCCAGCTCTGCTGGGGTTGAGCACCCCACAAGTGCCCTCGTCCCAAGGCCTTGCTGGCAGTGCTGGTGGTTGGCATCGGCACCGTGGTCTTTCCTGGTGTTCCCAGGGCTTGGAAGCATTGGCAACGTTGTCAGGTTTCCTGTTTTTTGATTTGGATCTGCAGCCGGGCCTGGAAAAGCTGCTGCTCCGGCCATTCCAGGGCAGCTCTGCCCATCCAGGGGGTTTGATGCGCTCCCTGGCTTGGAAAGGCTTTAATTTTGGGGAAAATCCAGGCTCTGACTCAGGGCACAGCTGGCCCAGACAGGGCCGGCATCTTGTGGTGTTGAGGACTTGGCTTTGGCACTGCACCAGGTTTCCTCCGTGTGGATTCCTGGTGGCCGAGTGTTTGGTGGCCACGTGAGGCTGGATTGGAATGAGCTGGGATTGTCCTTCCCTGTGTGCTCTGGAGGTCCTGCAGCCATCAGGGGCTGCGGGATGGTTTGGGAGCCACCGGTGTCCCTGTGGTGTCCCCGTGTGTGGCTCAGGGGGGCAGGAACCAGAGCCACCACCCCCAGGCAGCGCCACCACGGTCCCCAGCGCCACCTGAGGGTGCTGTGCAGGTGCTGGTGCTGCTGGTGCTGCCCATCTCCAGCGGTGCCTCATCCTGGAAAACACTGGAAATCCTGGGAACGGGCACAGCAGAGGAGCTGCCCCAGTGAGGAGCCACCCAACGTTGCACCAACGCTTTGGGCTCCTTCTGCGGGCAAGGAGGAGGGAAAGAGCCCACCAGGCCCTGGGGACCCTCTCTGCCAGCCGGGCCTGGGCATCCCGCTGGGCAGGACCCCCCTGGCGCGCAGCAGGAAGGTGAGGAGCACCCTTGGGTGGCAAAGCGCGGGGAGTGCGTGCAGCACCTTGCACGAAAAATGTTGGTTGCTACGGAAACACGGCACTTTCCATCCCCGTTCTGGGCTATCTGTGTTCTGGGGAGGAGGGAAGGGCTTCCAGTCACGTACCAGCTCCACAGAACTTGCTGCCTTTGCCTCCTCAGTGGGAGCGGCGGGGTCCTGAGGAGGCCACCAACACCTCGCTCCTCCCTGCTGAGGGTCTTCAGGGCTTTGCAGGATGTGGTTGGATCCAAGAGCCTCCATGGGATGGGATTTGCTGCTCAGGAGGAGCACCATGAGCTGAGACTCCGTCCCTGGGGTTGGGAGCGACGAGGACCCACAGCCAGAAGCTCCTGGTTTGCAGCTGGAGTACAGATGTTGATGGGATCCCTGATCTTCTCACCTCTGGCTCAGCTTCTGCCACTGCCTGGCAGGAGATATCACCCACAGAAGGCCTGGATGGTTCTGGATCATCTGACCTCATCTCCCACCCCGTGGGACCATGTGGATCCATCCCCATCCCTTCTGGAGGAAGGGGCCAGACTCATCCTCCTGGGACAGAGACACAAAGGGCAGAGCCACCACAGCAGATGCTCCCCGAGTCCTGTGACCATCAGGACGACAGACCTAGGCTCGTCCCAGCTCTGTCTTGTCCCCTCCCCTGCGCCCCGAGGTGACAGTGAGGGGCATCACGCTGGGGACAGGCCGGGAGCAGCAGCCTGGCCCAGCTGGCAGCAAAACCTTCCTGGCCCCAGCCTTCCTCCTCCTCCTCACCCTGCCCACACCTGGATGGGGATGTGGGGACCCTCCTGGCTGCCTCCCCTCAGGGTTTTGCCCACCCCAAAACCGATCCCTCCCCCTCAGGCCACCTCACAACGTCCCCTCTCCACCCAGCCTGGCTCCTCCTGCCCATCCTGCACAAAACGGGACAATGGTGGGGGGTGCCACCCTGGCACTGGTGCCCCCCCCCCCGGATCTGCCCCCTCCCCCTGCTCCTTTTGGGCTAATCCCTGTCCTCAGCGGTGTCGGTAACACCTTCCCAGTTTAGCATCATCCTCGCTGGCTGTAATTACCGTGCTGTTTACCTCCACCTGCTAATTGATAAAGCCACCCCTGGCGCCCGGCCCGCGCCGCCGCCCCGTGCGCTGCCATGTGGCTGCTGGCACCAGCCCTGCTTCCCAGCCCCAGGATGGCACCCTGGGCTGGAACAGGGGCTCCAAGGGCACCCCGATCGTGGGGGGCTCTGCTGCATGCCGGGCTCACAGATGGAGGTGGCTGATGGGTCAGTGCTGAGGGCACGGCGGGTTTTTGGTCACCAAAAGGACTTTGCTGTCCCTCCCAGCCCTGGCCAGCCTCCTCAAGATGGGTTCAGGGGGTTTCTGCCCAAAATTGGGTGCTCCTGCTCTTCCAAAGGTCATGCATGCCCCTTGGATTTCCTCGACTGGGGCAGTCCTGCTCCTCCCCCTGCTCTCGCCCACCCCAGGGTGTCCCTGGGCACCCCCTGCCCACACCCATCCCGGGATGTCCCCGGGAATCCCTTCCCTGTGCCCTTGCCCACCCCAGGGAATAACCCTGGGCACCCCTGTCCATGCCCTCATCCAGCTCAGGACGCTCCCAGGCAGTTCCTGACCCTCGCCCACCCCAGGGGTGCCCCTGGACAGCCCCTTTGCTGCATCCTCGCCTGTGTCAGGGGTAATCCCAGGCAATTCCTGACCCTCGCCCACCCCTGGAATGCTCCTGGGCATCCCCTCCCTGTGCCACTGCCCACTCCAGGCTGTTCCTGGGCATTCCATGCTCCTGCCCTCACCCACTTTTGGGATGTTCCTGGGCATTCCCTCGCCATGCCCTCACCCACCCAGGGGTGATCCAGGCAATTCCTTCTCCATTCCCACCCCAGGGGTGATCCAGGCAATTCCTTCTCACCCACCCAGGGGTGATCCAGGCAATTCCTCCATTCCCACCCAGGGGTGATCCAGGCAATTCCTCCTCACCCACCCAGGGGTGATCCAGGCAATTCCTTCTCACCCACCCAGGGGTGATCCAGGCAATTCCTTCTCACCCACCCAGGGGTGATCCAGGCAATTCCTTCTCACCCACCCAGGGGTGATCCAGGCAATTCCTCCTCACCCACCCAGGGGTGATCCAGGCAATTCCTCCTCACCCACCCAGGGGTGATCCAGGCAATTCCTCCATTCCCACCCAGGGGTGATCCAGGCAATTCCTTCTCCTGGCCCACCCCGGGGACGCTCCACAGCTCCCAGCGGTTTATCTCCACCCCCTCCCGCCCCATTCCAGCCCTTGCACCGAAACCGGGCGAATTTCGGGGTCTTTTTCCCCCGCGCCTTGCCCGTGACGTCACACCCCCCCCGCCGTGTGACGTCACGCCCCCGCCGCGTGGCGTCACCGCGGCGCGCGGCCCCGGGGGGTGAGCGCTGCCGGAAGGGGCGGGGCCAGAAGCGGAGGCACTTCCGGGAGCGGCGCGGGGCGGAGGGGGAAGATGAGCTGGTGAGTGCGGGGGGACCCCCGGGGCACCGGGAGCACCGGCACCGGGCCAGGGCGGAGGAACCGGGGCCGGCAGGGCGGGGGGACGAGAGCGCCGGCACCGGGTCTGGGTGGAGGAACCGGGACGGGGCACGGCGGGGGAACGGGAGCACCGGGACTGGGTCAGGGAGGAGGAACCGGGAGCGGGGCAGGGCAGGGGGAAGGGAGCGCCGGCACCGGGAGCGGGGCAGGGCGGGGGAACCGGAGCCGCTGGCACCGGCCCGCCCGGTCCCGGCTCCTCACCGAGGGCACTGCGGGTGAGGAGGAGCCGGGCCCCGGTGGGAGCCCCGCTGCAGGCCCTGGAGCGGAGCCGGTGGGTTCACAGCGCTGGCCTGGCTTGGCCCGCTGCTGGCCCCGGAGTGGGTCCCGCTGATGGGCCTGGAGAGGCCCCGGTGCTGGCTCTGGTGGGGTCCCCAGTCCTGGCCAGGTTTGTCCCAGTCCTGGCCAGGTTTGTCCTGGTGGGATCCCCAGCGCTGGCCAGGTTTGCCCCAGCCTGGTGGGATCCCCAGCGAGTGGTGGCCAGGTTTGTCCCAGTGCTGGCCAGGGTTGTGCCAATTCTGGCCAGAGGTTTGCCCCATGCTGGCCAGGTTTGCCCCAGTCTTTGCCAAGTTTGTCCCAGTCCTGGCCAGGTTTGTCCTGGTGGGATCCCCAGCGCTGGCCAGGTTTGTCCCAGTGCTGGCCAGGTTTGTGCCAATTCTGGCCAGGTTTGCCCCAGTGCTGGCCAGGTTTGTCCTGGTGGGATCCCCAGCGCTGGCCAGGTTTGTCCCAGTGCTGGCCAGGTTTGTCCCTGCTGTCCCTGTAGCCGCCCCACAGGTGTGCACCCCTCACACCCCTCACCTGTGCTCCCCACAGCACCCCCTGAGCCCTTCCCACCGCTCCCCCTCCTCCCTGCCCAGGTGCTGCTGCAGGTACATGGAGGGTGCCCCAATGCCCCCAATGTCCCCATTGGCTCTGAAATGCTGGAAAACCACCTTCAACTCCATGAAAGTAAAGCTTTTTCCTTCAAAAAAGAGGAAAGAAGAATTCCCATGTGTTTGAATCAAACTGATGAGGGCTCCATTTGGGCACGTTGGTGCTTATTTATTTGAATTGTATTAGAAATCAATAATATTAGTAATTAATCTGGACTGCTGTGTGTGGTTTCTCATCCTGGGTGGTTCTGGAGATCCAGCACTGTTGTGAGAGGCAAAGGATGGGATGGATCAAGAGCTAAAAGGGCTTTTCCTTGCCTGGAAGGCTGAGTTCCATGGTGACAATGGAAAATTTTTTGGGTTGGGAGCTGTGGAGTTGTGGTTTGGAAATGTACTGCGAGAATGTAATGAGGCACACACAGGTGCTGATTAAAACTGGGCATTTGGACTAAAAATACACATTTATCCCCTGGAATCACTTTGGTTTTGCTTTACTCATCTCAGAACATCAACAGTTATGGACAGCGTTGGCTAATGAGGTTTTGGAGACAACTTTTCCCAGGGAGCCTGAGGAAAGGGACTCTGGAAGGGACCCTCTGGTCCAGGAGGAGCTTCAGGGCCAAAATGTGAGGGATAATTAATCCCTTCACACGTTGGATACGGAATAATTTGGGTGCAGGGTATCCACACTTCCACTTGCAATTCCTGGTGTCCATCCAGCCCCAGGGACTGTCCCTTGTCACCACAACACATGTGGCTTTTTCTGGGAGCCCTTTCTCTGGCAGATTGCCTGTTTTTGCCTTTTTCTGGGGAGGAATCCAAGGTCATTGCCTGCTGGTTTTTGGCTTCCTTTTTCTACCTCTGTTGAGGCTGAGATTGAAGGTACTTGAGATGATAGTTTAGACTCTGATATTTGTTATTTCTTATCAGTTACAGTCTCACAGCAATGAGTTCTGCAGTCTTTCATTAGCAAGGCACAAAATGGTTAACTGTCTCTTGGTACAAGGTCTTTTAAGGTTAATCTATCCAATTAAGAAATGATACCTAAATTATTTTCAGTTTTAACCGAATAACTGATCCCGCAAAGCCCGCACTGTGGACTTTTCTGTTCAGTTACAAAAACCACCCAAACCCATGGAGAAGAAGGAAGAAGAAGGTAAAGAAGGGCAACCTGCCTCTATCCTAAAACCTCCATCTTGCTCCATATTTATTACTATATTCTAAAACCCCAAACTCTGAGTTTTCCACCCTGTGATGTCACACACTTGTAACCAGCTCCACACTCGTAATCCCAGTGCTATCAATCAATTTTGGAAAGCTTCTCCACAGCCTCAGGTCAAACGCAGCACTCTCCTGGGGGTCAGAGTCTGTACAGAAAATGTAAAACTCTCAGCATCCAGAACTCCAGCAGTTGCCCGGCAAGCGGGGGGAACTCCGGGGAATTCTGAGTGTCTTTCTTCTCCGGCCGCGTCACCCTCCGGAGCGCGGCTGACGCACGAGGAGCTCAGAGCCTGCACAAAGCCCGCACTGTGAACTTTTCTGTTCAGTTACAAAAAGCACCCAAACCCATGGAGAAGAAGGAAGAAGAAGGTAAAGAAGGGCAACCTGCCTCTATCCTAAAACCTCCATCTTGCTCCATATTTATTACTATATTCTAAAACCCCAAACTCTGAGTTTTCCACCCTGTGATGTCACACACTTGTAACCAGCTCCACACTCGTAATCCCAGTGCTATCAATCAATTTTTGAAAGCTTCTCCACAGCCTCAGGTCAAACGCAGCACTCTCCTGGGGGTCAGAGTCTGTACAGAAAATGTAAAACTCTCAGCATCCAGAACTCCAGCAGTTGCCCGGCGAGCGGGGGGAACTCCGGGGAATTCTGAGTGTCTTTCTTCTCCGGCCGCGTCACCCTCCGGAGCGCGGCTGACGCACGAGGAGCTCAGAGCCTGCGGGCTTCCAGCGCCACGGCGGCCACACAATCACCCTCAGTCAGGCCCTGGGTGTGTGTGTGTGTGTGTGTGCCCTCAGTCCGGCCCTGTGTGTGTGTGTGTGCCCTCAGTGCAGCCATGCCCATGTGCCCTCCGTCCGGCCCTGTGTGTGTGTGTGTGTGCCCCCTCAGTCCGGCCCTGTGTGTGTGTGAGTGTGCCCTCAGTCAGGCCCTGGGTGTGTGTGTGTGTGTGTGCCCTCAGTGCAGCCGTGGATGTGTGCCCTCAGTCCGGCCCTGTGTGTGCCCTCAGTCTGGCCATGGATGTGTGCCCTCAGTCCGGCCCTGTGTGTGTGTTTGTGTGTGTGCCCTCAGTCTTGCCCTGTGTGTGTGTGCCCTCAGTCTTGCCCTGTGTGTGTGTTTGTGTGTGTGCCCTCAGTCCGGCCCTGTGTGTG